TGACTGACAACACCAGCTGCAGAGGGTGCCGGGGTGATGTTGGGCCAGTGGTTCTCACCACTGGGAAATGCAGGCTGCCCCCCCCCCTCGTACAGCTAAAGCTAGAGGAAGAATAGGGAGGGCTCCATCCGGAAAACTGAATCCAAGTGATTTAGCTGCTGGACTTGCAGGAACCGCGTCTTCACCTGCATGTAGCCCCCAAAACGCAGCATCATGCAGGTGGCAGAACGACAATCTAAACCTACTCCTGGGGGACTGGAGCCCCTAGAATCCCGGGGTGAAAGTGATCCACAGCTAGGACTATCCACCCCCGTGTAACGGTCCAGATCCCCTTCCACCTATAGACAGACCCCCGACGAGCAGTCCACAGGTGGGTGAGTGTTACATTCCCTGTGACTAGCTCAAGGTCACACAGGGAATCAAGGTCACCACCTGGGTTAGAACGCTGGACTCCTGACTACCAGCCCTGGCTCAGTCAACTAGACCAACTCAACTAACCATCTAACCAGCACGTTTTCTCTTCTCTCTCCTTTGCTGAAACCAGGAATTATGGGGTGAAATCCTGACCCTGACTGAAGTCAAAGGCAAAATTCCCATTGACATCAGGTTTCACCCTAAGTGTTTTGGGTGATGGTGGAAAGCGAAGGCGAAAGGGTGACCGGTTTGCCATTCTTTTTGAGCTGGGCCCTTAGGAAAATGGCTTCAGCAAACAGCTGAGGCCTTCAGTGCCACGGATCCAGGAGCCCCAGAGGGCACCTTGCATTTGCTCTCTCCCTAGGAAAGAACACATTAGAAAAATGGAAACAACCAAATAAAAAATCAGCCCCATGTACCAGATCAGAACCAGCACCACAGCCAAGACGTGATCAATCAATAGCTCCAGTGACCAATAGCACTGGAGACGTACCCCCTTGAGGCCACACTGCAGTTTTCATTGCTGCTTCCTTCGTGACTCTCCCACTGTCAATAGCACTTTGCCTGTGACCACCTGTTGATGTGGGTGGCGCTGCCACGGGTGCATCACTTATCTATCAATTTATTCTGAGAGGAAAGATGCTCCAGTTGTTGGGGCAATAGGCTGGGACTTGGGAGACCTAAAGTTCTATTCCCGCCTCTGCAATCCTGGCCTAGTCTTTGTGCCTCAGTTCCCCTAAAAACAGGGATGCAATGTCCATACCTTCTGGGGGGAGAGCGATTGTGAGGATAAATAAATTAAAGATTGTGGGACACTCATACTGCAGTAATGGCAGTCAGATAACTACCTTAGATAAGGACCATAAACACATTTTGAGTTATACTTACAGAACTTAGGCCTCTCAGCTCAACGGAAAGAGCTTGAATGGACACTAGCATACCTGTTACATGCAGTGTCTTTCTTATCGCCACACAGGAAAGCTCTGAGAACCTAAACTTAGTCTTCGCATTTGTGCTTCATGCTGCACAGTGTTCCCTGTGGACTCTGCAAACTCCATGGACTATCATGTTTAACAGTTAAAGGATTCATAAATTCAGTCTTGGCACCAGCTTTCCAAGACTAAGCATGATTTTGCTTTGAACTCACTGATGGGAGGAAAAAGCATGTAGTAATGTTCAGCTAGAACTGAGTTACAATACAGCAAGAGATTCCCTTAGTAAGAATAGCTCTTCTTAAAGGATGAATCAGTGACCAGATATTTAGTATCTTGCAGGTTAAGGGTCACATGAAAATAGAGTGAGATTTGATGCGATTCCTTATTGGTTGGAAAGCCCAGCATTTTGCACTAGACCAGCCTGGGGTTATTTGGAATAGGTCCAGTACTGAAGAACTAGGAGAAACCACAGTGAACACGCATTTTCCCTTTCCTCTGATTCCTTAAAACAATTCCCCTCAGAATGCAATTCTGGGGGCCAGAAAAGGCCTCAGCATCATGTAGGCCCTCAGGAAGAAGTGATGCTATAACATATTTGGCAATTACCTGGTAATATGTGAGTTCATGTCTGCAATCAGACTCCAGTCAAATGAACCTGAAGAGAGAGCTTCCTCATTTAATTTCATCTTTATCACCTAACTCTGGCTCCAGACCAGTGCACCACAGATCATAGCCAACCTATAACAGTGGGTTAGTGGAATGCATGCTTATGATTTCCCTTGTTGCTCTTTTAAGTCTCGGGGGGGGCAGGAGGGGAGACTGAGCTCCCAGGCAATCAATGAAGGCAGGAATCATCTCACCAGGGTTTCAGCATTATTAGAAATAATAGTTCAGAGGGAGCAGCCTCTGTTTTCTTGTTTTCTGGATGTTTTCTGAACCTAGACTGTCATTTTGATTCACGGCAATATTCCAGATGGTACCAGCCTTCCAGCTCTGAATTGCTGGGAGAGGAATCTGCTTTCCACATGTTCAAAGCACTATCTAGCCAAGAAATTATAACATCCTTTCAAAAGAAAACTTCCATGAATGAAAGCGTTTTTAATTGGCTCCCAGTTTTCATGTACAAATGGTAACTGTGCACTGACATTTCTACACCTACAAATTTTGGTTTCTTCACATGCCCTTAGCGGTCCACCAAAAAGTGTATCTTAAAATTTGTAGGCAGTGTTTTGAAAATGTTGCTCCAAATTTGTTTGATGGTTAAAATTTCACGGTTCACCTATCCCAATAAGCCCCTTTAAGATATTTACATAAGGATCTTAGAAACAAGCTACAAATGCTACCTCAAAAAGCAAATGCACTACAAAAACCAACCTAAAATATTAAAGAATCTCAGAACGTGACACCCAGACATTCCAATCGCTGCTGCTAATTTCTGAACCTATAGTCATAAGAATCAGCATCAAGTTGGTATACGTTGATAAAAACCACTTCCTCAGAAAATAAATGTATTTATTTATAATATAGGTAAGCATGGACCTTCACAGACATGTAAGATGACAAGATCTTTGTCCGGGGGAGCTCACATCCAAATATCGAAAATACAGCATGGGAATGGGATGCAACATAGAAGCAAAGAGATTGAGCAACTCTGTTTGACATCATCTTGCTAGTTCCAAGATGCTGGAGGAGTGGGGATTTAAAATGCTTGTTTATTTTGCTATCTGTAGTACTAAATCACTAACTAATGTGAGCCCTGGTTGAGATATCATGCCAGAAAATCAGACCAGTAATCAGTTTGCATCGTCTGCTTGCCGTGACATACAGATCTTCAAATGTTGTTATTAATTATTCATATCATAATAGTTCATAGAGGCCCCAATCAAAGGCAAGGCCCCATTGTGTAGATACACAGTGAGAGATAGGCCCTGCCCTGGAGAACTTACAGTCTAGATAGCCAAGACTACAAAGGGTATGTCTGCACTGCAATAAAACACCCGTGAGTGGCCCATGTCAGCTGCCACAGGCTCACGGGGCTCGTTCTGCAGGGCTATACATTGCAGCCTAGATGTTCAGGCTCAGGATGGAGCCTAGGTTCTGGGACCCTTCTCCCTTGGGGGTTCCCAGAGCCCAGGCTCCAACTCAAGCCCAAATGTCTACCCTGCAATTGTACAGCCCTACAGCCGAAGCCCCGCGAGCGCAAGTCAGCTGACACAGACCGGCCGCAGATGTTTTATTGCAGTGCAGATAAACCCAAAAGGTCTAAGCATCTTTTCTTGCAACAAGTCATATATAGGGTAAGCACCTTAGTGTTTAATTTCAATGCGTTAACGGCAGCAAAATTATGTTTCTGAAGAAAGACCAGGAGCCAGTGGGTAAGTGATAATATTCTTCCAGGATGCATCATCCCAGCTATGTACAGTAGACCAACAATGTTACATATCACAAGCAGGCCAGAGATCATGTAACTCTGGTGCTAAACTTTCCAGGCCACATTCACCAAGTGGTTAGGTTCCAAAAGGAATCACTGAGGACTTCAGTATTCTGTGGTCTATCAGTAAAGAAAAAGGCATGTTATATGCCATTATCTAGGCTGTAGCACGTCTTTCACCTTCCTGAGTGACATGCCAAAGGCAACAGAATGCTGCCACTTTTCTCTGAAGTCCCATTTGAAAACAAGCACCTGCTAAATGTTATTTCTTCCTGAAAGTCACTTACATTTTAGACTAACAATATAGCAAGGCCTTGCGAAACCAGTGTGGGAGATGACTGCTGGCAGACTATGGAAATATTATATATGTAACTATACAGTGTAGAGAGTGCTAGAGGCTACAGCCCTGACACAGGTTACAATACTGTTAGCATAACTCTCCAGAAGGACATGTTCTGACTATTCTCTGCCACCACTTCTCTTTGGGAAAGAGATGGAGAGCAGATTCCCTGCTAATATCCTTTCAACTGTGATGGCTTTAAGGTCTGAGAATCTGTTTTCTGTTAACAAAAACTATAAAACTTTCAACAAAAGATGAAAAATGTGTCTCCCATTGGCATGAAAACCAGAGACTTCTTTGGAGAAAAGTATCATTTTGACAATCCTCTGGAAAGTGGGACACAAAAAAGGATGATTCTTTGCCATTGGCAGCAGAAACCACATATCAGCAAATCCCTCTTTGTAAAAAGTCAACATAAGTCACTCACAAAACCTTGGATAAAAATATCAGGTTTAATTTTTTTACCTTATGATTGGCCTTTAAATCAAATGCAATCAGTGAAGTTCTCTTGCTTTTATTTCCCCTGTTTTAGTCCCTGGAATTTGACATCTGTTGAATTCTGGATCTGGTTTAGGGCTTTTTCCAAGTCCAAGACTTGGGGAATTTTGTTAACAGTGCAATAAAAATAACTTCATAGTGTTGTAGGGAAACATTAAAGCCTTTTTGTGTGCTGCTCTCTCCCTTTATAAAAAAATACAGACAATGTTTCTTTAAAAGTCTCCATCTGCAAATCCCATTAGATGTGCATATAAGGTTTCGGATGATTAATAGTTGCCTGCTTTGCTTTGGTTGGAGGGGCTGAGTGTATGCAGGTTAACCCCTCCCTCCCCTCTCTCACATTTCACTTCACAAACTTGTCACTCGCTGCCCGGCACAGTATTTAAAAAGTGTTTCACCCATGTCCAGCATTTCACAGGGAGGCAGCTGCAGGCCTTGGGAAACTGTTCAGCCCAATTGCTGCATAGATCTGGTTGGGGTTTTCCAGCTGGGACTATGCGGAAGTTTAGTCAAGCTTCCAAACTAACAAATTTGCAATAGAACAAAATCCACAAACCATTTTTTAGGGGAGGCGGCGGGGGAGATCCAATTCTGTTTTTCCATACAAGTTTGGAGCTATTTTTTCCCCTCTTTCATATCCTTGAAGCCTGAGCCAAATCCAGTTACAAATCTCGGAGCACGGACAGCATAGAGCCAGCAATGGATCCCTCCGTGAGTAGCTGTATGCGAAGTCCCCGTCCCACTACCCCACTCTGGGGGTGCCTGCGGAATGCCCATGCGGAGCTCAGCACAGCAGCAGGAGCGCATCATTACCCACAAGCACCATTCTCATTCCATCAAAAACCAGACTTTGCTGCATATTCCGATTTCTCAGCCTCTTGTTTGGCCACTGCCCCCCACAGCTTCCCCCGAGAGGAACGCATGTTCGCAGAGCAGCACCCTTCTTTCCAGCATTCTGACTGGCACTTTGCAGCATCCGAGGCCAGAAGGCGGCTAAATCCAGGACTGGCCTTGGGTTCTGGGGAACTAGAAAGCAGCAGCCCAAACCTAGTGGCTGCTGCAGGGGGCATGAATGAAGATTATGGGGTACCAGGAAACACTACAAATGAAACTGAGAAAAAGTCATCCAAAAGGAAAAAGGAAACCTCAGGTAGGTGGCATGTCACCAGGGATCTGGGGTAGCAAAGTTCGCAGAGTCAGAACATCTGTAAGGTTCTACAGGAGAGATTAGGAAAGGAAGCCAGTGAGAAATACATTTCAGAATTCTTGACTAGGGAAAGTGTAGCTGGCAATATAGAGCACTACTACTGAACTAGAGTGCTTTTTGTTTGCTGCTCCCTTGTATTTATGTTTGCTTTTCCAAATCTTGGGCCTGAACTAGCTACCTCCCGACCCATGGTCACAATGTAGCCTTTCTGTAAGTGTCAGACAGAATCATATGGTATCCCATATATTGGGACCACAGCCCTAAATAAGGAGCAGATACATTGTGTGGCTGCCATTTGCCCAAGTGTGAAATGATGGGGCGAGGGGTGTCAAAGAACAGGCAGCCTGTGGGAGTGTGTTAGAAACAGGGAAAAGCAAAACAGGCTCCGGGCTAGTTACTCGCTAAGATTAAAGGGATTAGAAAAGGATCGAAACACTCAAAAGTAACACAAAATTCGCTGGGAATAAATCACTGTCAGATCTCACACCCCGAGTCATAAAGGAGGAGATATCAGGAAAGCAGTGGATCACTGAATTGCTAAATGCATTCTTCTGCTGCAGTGGGTCCTGTACCATGAGGGCTAGCTCCAAGGGGGACACTCATTCTACCCTTTAACTAGACATCAGGTAGCATCTATATTGCTAGGTGCTGAGAATCTAACAAGAAAAGTATGTAACTAAATTTTACAAATTATTTGAGAGCTGAATAGCATTGACCTGTCTCTCCATCTTCGTTGCTAATGCACCTACCACTGCAGAATCTAGGTTCTGACCTCTGCTATGTGGAGCTGCCCATTGTAGGAAGCTATGTTGCAGTGCAATGCAGGTTAAATGCAGCCAAACATAGAAGGTAGTTTTCAGCTGTCTGCAGTTGAAGATGCCTCCTCCCCTCCCCTTTGATACACATTCCAGCTTTGTGTCAGTTTGGCTGAGCATTTAATACTTTCAATTCAAATCCAAAATCAGGTCGAGTTGGTATCAATGACTTGCCCATTAGACATAACCAGGACATGTTGTCTTCAGCTATAAGAACAGTGCAGATGGGTTTAATTGTGTTGTTGTAACTTGCAAAATGAAAATCTTCCACCTCCTAGTTTTCAAAGATCTCATGGATACTTTGCTGCTGTCAGTATGAATATAGACATGGAGAAACTAGTAGTTTCTCTTAAGAAAGCTATTGAGTTAGGTATTTATTATGAGTCCCTCACTGAAGTATTTGTGTCCACCAAAAACATTGATGCATTTATTCTCCCAGCACCCTTGAGAGTTAGGGAAATATCATCCCCAATTTACAGACCAGGAACTGAGGCACAGAGAGATTAAATGACTTGCCCAAAGTTACACAAACTGTCTGGGCAGAGCCAGGCATTCAACTCAGATCTCCTGACTTTCCGCCCAACACCTTAACTCCAATACCATCCTCTCTCTCTCTCTCGTTCTGTCAGTGCCATTGTTAGCCGTAATCTCTGCTCCAGAGAGCTTCCCATTTCAGTTCCCTCCAAACATTGGCAGGCTGTCCGTGAGTATCTGAAACAGATAATACCCCAAACCTCTTTGAGTTCCAGACTCTAAATTACTCCCTTAGATATTTCATAGTCTCTAGAAACCAAGCTTGATATAATTTTTGGACATCCAAACCCATAAAGGATTTTCAGGCAACAAATGGCCATAAAAATAATACGAAGAACAATTTTTCCAGAACAGAACAACAATATTGCAAGTCATTAGGGTTTTTTTTTAAAAAGAATGTATGGGATTAAGAAGTAGCCGGGACATCTCACTAAATTCCCATTAATGGATATCTTTATTCTTAATAGTTTAATGGGATTCCAAAGCATGTCCTCATGTGTTAAGCAGATGACACATAGTCCCTGACACCTTTCACCCTCTTATTGCTGTGAGCAACCTTGCCACTCTCTCTTCCCACTTGCTGCCAACCCATATGCCTGTCATTGCAGAGGAGCTGTAACCAACATTGCTACACATGACGTCACTGAAATATAAAATGATTCTCTACCTTCTTGCCAACTGTTTTCATTATTCCTCCTTCTCTAGTTTAACACCTTGCACGGACAGTGTCCCAAAGGTGATTCCATTGCCTCTTTCATTTCAATCACTTCTGTGCTGATAAAGCAGTAGATAAAATTAACAGTACTACTTCTTCCCCTCCCCCAGAATAAAATACAATAAAACAAACAGGGAGAAAGTCCTGTCCCTTTAAACCTGCTGATTTCCTGAAATCTAACGGCAGTTCCTTGAAATGCAGCTGGACACACATTTATAGTTTGTTATAAGTGGTACACGCTTCCTCTCCTTCCTCCTGAGAATTGGCTCCAGTTTGTTTTAGCAAAATCCAAGTGTCCAAAGAGTGCGCTCTTCAGAAGTTAGCAGTTGTTAATAAAGTGAAACAGCAATTATCTACCACTTGAGACATGCTGCAAGATAATACTCTATTATATGGAGCTGTGTGACGGTGTCTTACCAGCTACTGTCTTTGCTGTACTGTAGCACAGCCATAGAATTTCAATTATTTGTTTTGGTGCCAAATCCTGTAATTCTTTCTTGGTCCATATTCAGCAGAGGATATACAATAGGGACTTCAGGATTGGGCTCTTTGCTAGTATAGTGCTCCCCAAAACGTCCAAAACAAGTTTACCTCTGTGATAAACAGGGAGACTTACAGTGTTCTCTCACTGTAAAAGAAAGATTGACCATTCTGCTTAATCCATGAATTCTTCATTAAAGTGCTGTAATATTTAAACACATTTATATAACTGCCTAGTACAGGCAGTAGCAGTCACAGCAATACTACTTTTATTAGTAAGAAGCTCTGATCAGCCCTGACTGACAACCTAGGTATGCCCAAGAAAGTCAAGGCAGAAGATGGGCTAGAATTTGTTTTCACACCTATCATTGCAGTAGTTCTCCTGTACAGCATCTCTAACATTTCCAATTATTGTCTTTATAGATTTCTCCAGATTTTCAATATTGTGCGACCATACCCATCACATATAAAAATGGCTTTAACATGATGCCTTGCAATTGCCAACATTACAAAAGCCAAGGCGTTTTATAATGACTTGTAATTTATGGTATTCTACGTTTTCCATATGACAAAATGAATCTTACCAAGTAAACAAACAATGCCACAGGCACTTAAACAAGCTCTTAAATAAAACGACAAATGGTCTGAGTGTCGGAGTGACTAATAAACCCTCATAGGCACTGACTGTGTGGGACATATATGGGACCCTGAGCAAGCTTTGAACAGACCTTCTGTAATCTCATTTTAGATTTTCTGCATGAAGCATTTTCCAGATGACCCCAGCAACAGAAGACATGTCCAGCCTGTCCATGTCTATCCACACACATTTACAAATAAAACACAGAATCCTGGCAGAAACCCAACTCATTCAGATAGACAGTTTGGATATTTCAGTTTTCTACCACTCAACAAACTAGAAAACCATGTAGTAAGAACAGGTCACACTAGAACATAGGAAACAATAAATTAAATTTGGTTATTCTGTTGATCTATCAGCAATTACAAAATGTTTATCTACTGGTAAGCGCTATTGAATATGTGGGAGTTGCACTTATGTGACTGAGAGCAGAATTTGGTCCATTTTCTTTATATAAATGAAAACATACAGAATTTAAATGGGGATGTAGCAGAGATGAGATCTGACTACAGTGTGTAAGGATTCATTTACAACATTTTACATTCATATGGTGCCTTTTATCCTAGGAAAAGCCTAAAATATGTTACAAAATTTTCAAAGGACAGTATCGGATCACTTTAGATGCAAAACATAAGGTTTTATAAATCCAAGAATCAATGAAAATAGCCCTATCATTTTAATACCCAACTAAAATCATCTTAAATTTGGATTTAAGCACTCCCCCTGCAGTGTTGCAACTAGACATTACACCAGTGTGCTGGTGCATTAGAACCAGAAAGTGAAAGTGGTCAGAAATAGTCTATAAATAAAACAAACTGACCAGCCTTTTCCAAACTCAGTGAAGTGTGCAAAGTAAAGGATCAGCAATAACCATGAGAAGTAAATTCAATTTTTAAAACCCTTCTTATCTCAGTAATGTAATAACACAGGTAAGGAAATCTACCTAAAAATATGTGACTTGCCCAACTGTCCTTTGAACAAACTGGTAATTAAACTTTGTATAATGAACTGAGAAGGCACATGGGATAATAGATAGTTCTCTAGATAGGACTCGTGAGGCTTGGGTTCTATTCCTGCTTCTGTAGCTGACCCACTACTGTGTGACTTGGGTAAGTCACTTCTCTGCTCTGTACCTGTTTTCCCTTTTCTATTTAGTCTGTAAAATCTCTGGGGCAGGCCTGTACTCTCGCTATGCGCACATACAGTACTGAGCACAGTAGGGCCCAAATCTTGGTTGGGGCTTCTATATGCAATACAAATAGTAAATAAGAAGATGTATACTGCAGGATGCCTACTAGAAGATTAAATAAGTGCTTGGCCTAGTTCTCTGATATTTACTTTTACATTTGAAAGAACATACACTGCCTTGTCTTGTTGCCTAAGTAAAATATTAACCCTATTTAAAGTCCTCCATCAAATTTCAAACAAAATCTCCCATCAGAGCCTTTACTAGTCATACCATGGATTGCAGAGAAACATGGAGGTTTTTCTGTGGTTGACCTGCATTTGCAGTCACGGTGCCCTAAAAAGCATGTAGATCAGGGGTCGGCAACGTTCGGCACGCGGCTCGCCAGGCTAAGCACCCTGGCGGGCCAGGCCAGTTTATTTACCTGCTGATGCAGCAGGTTCGGCCGATCGCGGCCCCCACTGGCCGTGGTTCGCCGTCCTGGGCCAATGGGGGTGGCGGGAAGCGGCGCAGGCGAGCAATGTGCTGGCCGCGGCTTCTCGCCGCCCCCATTGGCCTGGGACGGCGAACCGCGTC